TTATTGAATTTAAAAATCTTTTGTCATAGGCTTTTGTTCTCTTTTCATTCAAAGCATCAGCCAAAATATTTCATAACGACAAAGCCAGTCCTATGATTGAGTCTATTATCGCACGTAATAGATCCTATAAATTCTACAAATATTCAGAGTCACGGATAAAATTCACTACTTCTTCATCGGCAATTTGCATAAATGCTTCAAACACMATTGCTTCACGATCATCACAAGCYTGCCAAACGAGGTCATTTTCTTGGATCCAACTTTTTGCTTTGGAAAACATGCCTTCACAAGGCATCAGGTCTGGGCTGTACGGTGGTAAGAAATTGAGTAGAGCACCTGTTGCATTTTTTGCGTTCACCACTGCATGGCTATGGTGTATTGCTGCGTTATCTGCAACGAAAAGAAAAAAGCACATTCTATGAAAAACCGATGCTATCATTTCTGTAATTATAGCTTTAACATCATAAATTAGGTGGTTTTCATTAAAACGAGATCAAAATGTTGYAAATAAAATGTAAGTAACGACGATACATAGTAAAAAAAACAGCTTGTATGTGCACAATAGTACTTATTACACCAAAGTGTGTTTCACGGGTTAATGAAAACCACTCTAATTTTCATGAATATTTATGCTATTTATTTCCCATCCCGGAGATATCAATTTTAAATCGGTTCATATTCGCAATTCCACTTCGTAGGTTTTCAGTTTATAGCTATTCTTTAGTTATGTTAAACAATGCAAGTTTTTGTAGCAATAAAAAAATAAATTGTTRTCGTTTTATTTAAAATGGATATCCACTTTTTGCCACACGTAGATACGCACCCATTATAACGACTGATCGCGGATTAACCCCATTGAATGGCAACAAGTGTGGGAGAAGCTTTTCTTGAGGAAACTGAAGGAAAGTAGCAGCGYTTGTAGTTCCTCGATGAATCCCAATATCCAGTAGACCCTCTGTTGTAATAACTGGAATTACTGTTATCCTTGGACTCCAGCTAGCAAACACCCTTCGTACGACTACACGTTGCCCTCTTAGACTGTATCCTCTTTTACGCGAAATTTGACGATCCTTGTTGTAAAACAATTATGAGATATTATTGATAATATCAATATCTTAGAAGTAGCTAGAAGTAGATAACTATACTGAACCAATYTAATTTCTACTTACAAACCCGCTTTCATCTAGGAATACGAGCMTGTCTGGATTAAGGAGGCAAGTATCAGCTCTGAAAGCAACACGAGCAACCTCACTTTGCTGTAGAGCTATTCTCTTTAACTAAAAAATAGGAATAGTAATTAACTAAAGTTAGATATAAATATGCTTCAAAGCAATGCAATTTCAACTGGATTTAAAAACTCCAATCTCACCGTCTTCCTCGTTACGCCATTTCTTTTGRAATATCGGCAAACAGTTGATACATCAAAGCGGTTACCAAATACTGACATTATATCTTGAACTATTYCCAGTAAGGTTTTTTCTGGATGTTCAAGCAGAGCTTCCATCAGTACAAGCTCTTCACGTGGATGCATGCCCAACATACTTAAAGGTCTTCCCATACAGTCAGCACGAACATCATTTGAATTCTGATATCGTCTTAAAATTCGCTCCACAGATCTTTCTGACATAGCTAGATAGAACGCTGTCTCCTCGATACTGCAACCGACAAAATATCGTAGCCAAACAGCACGCCATCGCAAATCTTCGGAGAATGGCWTTGGCATGTTTTTGGATTTTTGTTACTATACCCGWGTTAGAAGGTCTTAGAACAAGATCTACTGTACATTTGCATTGTGCATATTTTGCTTTTTGACATGTGAATATSCAAATATATCCAAATTTGGGGAACCCATAATGCTTTTCGGTCTTAGCTTATGTGATATGATCTTTTCGGACCCGACTA